TGGCCAACCGGCTGGCTGGACCTCATGCCTCCGGCTTCACTCACAGTTTCAATGAGGTGGGCAAGCTCTTCACGCAGATCCTCCGGGTCAAGGACCGAGATGACTTTCCCATCGTGCTGGTTGGGAACAAGGCAGATCTGGAGATACAGCGCCAGGTTTGGGAGCCCCCCCTTCCTTGGGGTCCCCATCTCGGCCTGAGAGGCTCCTTTCGGCATACCTCTCCCCACGTCAGCATCCTCCTTTGACTCTTGTGGTCGTGCTACCTCCATTGTCACACTCCCCACCTAGATATGTCAACTCCATTTGGGTCCACAGCATCACCCAGCATAGGCAGTGGCACGCAGGAGTAGTCCCCAGGAGGGGTGGCTGGATGGCACAAAGGGCACCCACCCCCAACCCCAACAACCCCTGACTCTGCCCAACCAGACTCTCTTTTTCCCACCTAGACCCTCACCCAGCCTCCCATTCCTCTTCTATGGTTTACCTTCCACCCGCCCCAGCCCTCCCCTGCTCACAGCCCTCCCATGGCTCCCCAGTTCTTCAGCCTGGCACTTGGTTTTGTTCCCTCCTTTTTCTGCTCCCACCACTTCCATATACACACAAACTGCATGATTTCCACACAGAACTCATCTTCTAGGTTAAGTCTTTGGGGACTTCCAGGCCTCAGGGCTTTGCTCGGCCTCTGTGGGGAACACCCTTACTTCTTTGGCTGACTCCTAGCTATCTACTGCTCAGAAGGGCAAACGTCTATGAAGCCCCTTGACTTCTCACTTGAGCCCCCATAGTAGGTAACTTCCAATAGGGTACCCAGTGTCTGCCTGTCCCGGCTGGGGTCACCCCGAGTGCAGGGACCTGACCCTTCCCCGTGTCCCCCATCCTCCCAGGTGCCCCGATCTGAAGCATCCAACTTCGGCACCTCCCACCATGTGGCCTACTTCGAGGCCTCGGCCAAACTGCGTCTCAATGTGGATGAGGCTCGAGTGCAGGGACCTGACCCTTCCCCGTGTCCCCCATCCTCCCAGGTGCCCCGATCTGAAGCATCCAACTTCGGCGCCTCCCACCATGTGGCCTACTTCGAGGCCTCGGCCAAACTGCGTCTCAATGTGGATGAGGCTTTTGAGCAGCTGGTGCGGGCCGTCAGGTGAGCCGAGTCCCCTTCCCATCATCCTTGTCTCCAGTCTCTCCAGCCCAAACTCACCAGCATCTTCCCACAGGAAATACCAGGAACAAGAGCTCCCACCCAGCCCTCCCAGCGCCCCCAGAAAGAAGGGCAGGGGCTGCCCTTGCGTCCTCCTGTAGCCCAGGTGGGCGAGAGAAGCAACCAGCACAAGTTCTTGGGACCAGCTGCCCTCGCACCTTGCCATGTGATCTGAGGCCCTCGCTGAGCCTCAGTTTCCTCATCTGAGTTTCCCAGGACACACTACACCCCTCACCCTTAGTTCCTGGCCTCCTCCAGGCCATTGCCACTGTGTGCCTTCTGCCAACACCTCCTTTCCCCACCCAAGCCCCTAGTGGGGGTGAGGGGCTCCCAGGTCACTGCTGTATATAACTCCCCTCCCCCAGAAAAATAAATGGCACTGCCAATGCCAGGAGGTGCTTTTTAAGAAGGGAAATGGGCTCAGGGAAGGTGGTTGAATTCAGGGCACACATGCTCTAAAGCCTCATTCCCTCTAACCCGTTGCTTGGGGAGGAGCAGGGTATACAGAGAATATGCTGAACCAGGCTGTAGAGCCCCACTTCTCCTTCAATGGTGAGATTCCATCCTTTTCTGTCGTGGTAGGCATTTTGGGGATGAACTTTAATGTCTGAAAGAACTTTTTTTCTGGGAAGTTCCAGAACTGCACTGTTTAATGTTCTAGCCAGAAACTACATCTTACAGAAGCTACTTAAAAATTAAGTCGAATTAAAAATTTGGCTCCTCAGTCACAACAGCAACATTTCAAGAACTCAACAGTCACATGTGGCTAGTGATTAATCTAAGGGACAGGGAAAATATACAATATTATTTATCATTGCAGAAAGGTCCATTGGACAGTACTGTTCTAGAAGTTTCTAGGATCTTGGAGACAGGCAGCAACTGCTACAAACCCTGCCTGCCCCCCTCCCACCTCCAATGTATATTGAACAGGGCCTTTTGGCTGGAGGAGGGAGAAGGGACAGGTGGGTGGAATGGTGTGCAAGCACTCTAGCAAGTTCTCAGTTCCAGAAAATTCCCAAGGTGGCTGACACCTGAGTTTAAACCCTGAATCCAACTTGAAGTTGGTGTGGACACACCCCATGTGAGCCTCTTTCCTGGGAGGGGCAGAACTGTGGAGAGTCTTAAGTCCATAGCACGTAAGCGGACAACACACTTCAGTTTGGAAACCCAAAGCTTATCTGTGTACTGGAAACCCTTGAGCTTCCGTACATCCAAAAAAGGATCCTAATCCCGGAGGTCTAGAGACCGCCATCATCCACCTCCCAAATCTGCCTGACTGGCCATCTTTGAACCCCAACACCTACTCAACACACGATGCTAGAAACCTCGATGGAAATGTCCCTATGCCCTGGAACTTTAGCTTCCACCTGACACCTGTCACCTATCTACCATCTGCTCCCTCCACTCCGGACCCCTGATCCCTGAATGCTCCATTCCCACCCATCCCAGAAGCTTCTTCCTGCTCCTAGGGCAGAGCATGGCCTTGCATGATCCCTGGCACCAGGATGCCTGGATTCAAATCCAGCTCTCCCTCCTGTCTCCCCCATCTGCAAAATGGAGGCGATTACAGAGCTGCTTCACAGGGTGGGCGAGAGGATAAAGATGATCTGCACGGGGGAATAAGCACAGAGCCTGGTACATACTAAGTGCTCACTATTAATGACCGTGGCCCACTGTTTCTTTTCTGCCCCAGAGCCATGAATGTCCCTCTGTATTCCAGATTAGAACATTGATTAACTAAATATCCCTTTCCGGGTTTCATTATCACAGAATCCTTGGCCTGCATTCAACCTTCCACCCTGGCTCAGATGTATTGTGCCACATGTTCCCTCTCCTCCCCGCAGAACCACTGCACACCAGGCCCTCCTCTCCCACCAGATGGGGGAAGGGGAAAACATGGAAGGGGGGGCAGGCAATGTTTTTCTGTTCCAGACAGATCTGAAACCTCCACCTGAGCCGTAGCCAGGGGTGCTGAGCTCTCAACAGGAAGGAGTCCTGTGCCAACTTCTCTTTCCCAGGGTGGCACCATCAACAGTCCCTCAGCAGAAGACCAGTCTTTCCTGCATTGTCCACTGGGGCCAAGTTCTTGGCCAGGGCAGGCTGCTTCTCGCAGGACCAAGTTGCACACTGATGTGACGAAACTTACTGCTTGTCCCCACAAAAAGGCACACGAGACTAACCCACACAACAAATGGCAGGCCATTTTTGGAAGGTTCATGGCCGCTGGCATCCCAAAGCACAGCAGACAACAGTGCAAAGGCTGGCATCTCCCTAGGAATGTGTTTGTGCCTGTTTGTCAGTTTCATTCCTGCCCACCCCTGGGCTCTGGCAGGCCCTGTCAATAATTCTCTCTCCCGTCTTTGTCCATCTCTGTCTTCCTCTGCCTCTCTTCCCTCTTCGCAATGTCTTTGACTTCCATGAGGCCTCTCAGGGTTTCCTGCTATGGGTAGGTAACAGGAGCTGTGTTTCTAGGTGTTTCAAAAGTGTTGTCTTTTTTCATCTTGAAAAAAGCCCATTTTACAGATCACAAAGCTGATGGTGGGGGCTGTTGTCTTACTTGCCTGGTTAGTGCTGGAGCTGGGATTCAAATTTGGGTAACTGGATCACAAAGGACAACCATAAGGTTATTCTACCCATGAAGGGATGATCCCTGCCCCCGCTGTTTACCCTCAGAACAATCCATCCATTTTTTAGCCCAGAACTCTGTTCTGAGATGACGCCAAGCTTGGAACTTTTGGCCCCAATTTCACAGCCCACTCAAGAGCCTTTAATGTGCTGCTCCCTCAGAGGTTGCACCCCCACACAGTACAGGCCACAGTTCAAGGATATTAACAGTCCATCCTCAACCCTCTTAACTCAATGATTCTAGAAAGTTCATGGACCATTGCTGACTTGCCCATCATAGTTCTTCAATACTAGTCCATCCTCTATTCTGTAAAACCAGGGCTCTAAAATTTAACATGTGATGGCACAGACAATACCCAAGCTTCCAGAACCATAAAGATTCTTCCTCACTTTCACCCAGAGGGAATCTGGAACACTAATGCCCTACCCTCCGTCTCACACTGAGTATCCACTGACCAAGCTAGGGTTCTGGAACACTGGGGTCCATCTCCTGACAATGATTATCCAGGCTCTAGAACGGCAACGGCCTATTCACAACTCTATAGGCTGGGCTCTAAAACACTGACAGCTAACCTCCAAACTTCTAACATTCTTGTTCTAGAACACTGCTCTTCAGACTTCAATGTGCTTTAGAATCCTCTCAGGATTTTATTAAGAAATGGGTTCTAGGGTTGGCCAGTTAGCTCAGTTGGTTAGAACACCGCCTTATAACACCAAGGTTATGGGTTTGGATCCCCATACCGGCCAGCTGCCAAAAACAAAAAAAAAGGGTTGATTCAGTAGATCTGAGAAGCAGCCTGAGATTCTACATTTCTACAAAGTCTTGGGGAACTCCAAGGATACTAGATCACAGACCACACTTTGAATAGCAAGGCTCAAGAACGTAGGACTCCATCCATAACTCTCTAGGCCAGCCTCTAGAAATACTGCCAGTCCACCTGTGACCTTGTAGTTTCAAGGTTCAAAGAGACCTGCCCTCAACTCCACATCAGGGAGACAAGAAAAGCTGGCCAGTTCTTTACACCTGTTACTGCCTGTAGTTACTTAAAAGTACATTTTAGGGCTGGCCAGTTTAGCTCAGTTGGTTGGAGCATGGTGCCAATAACCAAGGTCCAGGGTTCCATCCCTGTACTGGCTAGTGCCCCCCCGCCAAAAAAAAGACAGGTAATGACACTTGTAGAGAAAAATTTAAAAATTTATATACTTTGCCCTTCAAGAAGTGGAGCTTAATTTCCCTTGCCTTCAGTGTGTACCAGACTTACTCTCTTCTAATGAATAGTATGACAGAAGCAATTGTGTACACAACGTCTGACATTAGGACTTAAACATCTTGTGGCCTTCTCTCTCGGATTGCTCACTCTAGGGGAAGCCAGCTGCCGTGTTACAAGGACACTCAAGCAGCTCTATGGCGAGGTCCATGTGGCAAGGAACTGAGGCCTCCAGCCAACAGCCATGGAGTGAGCCACCTTGAAATTGGATCATGCAGCCCCAAACTCTCAGATGGCTGCTGCCTGGCTGACACATTGACTATATCCTCACGACAAACCCTGCGCCAGTACAGCCTAGCTCCCAAACTCCTCATGTTCAGAAACCGTAAGATGATAAATGTTTGTTTTTTGAAGTTGCTAAGTCTTGGGGTGGGGTAGTTTGTTACACAGCAACACAGAACATACCCCAACCTCAGGTAATCTACCTCCCAGGACTCTAGAAAGGCCCCGTTCCAGAGCTTCTGGCCCTGCCACCCCCAAGCCCACCCAAACGCCGCAGGACAGAGGCACTCCAGCCTGCCTGTAAAGTGTTTGCCGTTGGGTTTTCGTTTGGCTGGTTGTGTGTACACAGTGTATACAAGTTGAGTTGTACAGAAGCCCAAGAAAGAGCAAGAGACAAAGGGTGGTGGGGAGGTGGGAGCAGAGTGGAGGCAGAAAGAGGGGAAGAGGGGAAAGGAGACTGATAAAAAATAGAACCACATCCAGACAACAATGGGAGAGGGCAGTGGGTGGGGGAGAGACACAGACAGGTTGCTGTAGAAAAGGAGTGTGAGGGGCAGAGGGAGGGGACCCTTCTCCCCACTCCGCCTCCCCAGCCCCCTGCCCCAGGTATGTACAATAAATAAGATTAAAAATAATTAACAAGATGCGTTTTCCCCCTCCCACCCAATGCCGAATGCCCTGGGGAGGGAATGGCCTTTAGCAAAGATCTTGGCCTGTAGGCGGGGTTTGGGGGAAGGGGGTCCCCCAGCTCTCTGAAGCCGCCCCACCCCCCTCAACCATACATAGACTTTTCCTATACATTATGTACAAGGTGGAGGGAGTGGGGGCTATGGCCATGGAGGGGGGTCGGGGCAAGGGGGGAGGGAAACTTACTAAATAGACATTTATACATATATATAAATAATTTCTCTGTACACCGAACAGTGGGAGGAATGGGGAGGGAGTGGAGAGGAGTTGGGAGAGGTGGAGAGTTGAACTTTGAACCCTGCCCTGTGGGGGCAGCCCAGACACACCTTGGCCAATGACCCCCCACCTTCCCCGGCATTGGAGCCCAGGGGTTAGCTCCTGACAACACAGTTCTGTCCCAATTCTCGGCTCATGGAGGAGATGACCTCCCAGGCTGGAGTGGGGTCACCCACAGCGGCTGTGGGCCTGTGCTTGGGCCAGCAGGTCGCTGAAGGAGTCAAAGAGCTGTTCCAGCCATGGTTGGTTCCGCATGCACTGCTGGACCACCTCCTCCTGGCCCAGGTCCTCCGCGCCGCCCTCGATGGCAAGGGTCTGCAGGGGGTTAAACACAGAGCTGTGGAGGGTGGGACACCAGCCTCTGGGAAGGGAGGGGGCTGAGGGCCTGGGTACCAGTGTTCCAGGGAGAAGGGGCCTGCGAGATGGATTCTTAGGTCCAAGAGAAAAAGGACTTGGGGGCCCAGACTGCTGGGTCTGATGGAAGAGGGGGCTGGGCTTGGACTCTTAGGTGATGCGTGCTGTAGGTGGGGCTCACCTGGTCCCGGCAGCGCAGGAAGGTATGGTACTTATAGTGGTGGAGTGAATGATAGAGTGTGTAGTATCCTGACTTCTCCAGCTCAACCTTGAACTCCTAGGCAGATGGAGTTGGAGATGCTTCAGCCACTCTGGCCTGACACCAGGGAGTCCCTCCTCTCCCTCCCCCCACACCGCCCAGAACAGCCCACTTCCAGTCCTGGCCCCCACCTGGGCTCGAACCACACTCCTCTTGAGCTTGCTGAGCGTCTTGCGGTTGTAGGGTTCCCCAGCTGGCCGCAGTCGCACGGCCCCTTCTTCAGGGGAGCCCTCCCCACTCTGCTCCACTTGCAGCTGTGGGAACGTGTGCAGGGCATCCTGCGGGAAGCCAGCAGGTCAATAGGACACCTTCCTGGACCCATGCACCCAAACCCAACACCAAGTTCTTAAATCCCCCTGTCATCCAGGTGCCTCAGTTTCCCGCAGACTGTAGATCAGGAAAGACACTCAAGAGTCTTGCTCTCCTCAAAGGACAGAGAAGCCTGAGCCTGTCCAGAGATTTCTGGCCTGCCAGACACCACATTCCACACGGAATTCTCAGTGCCAGCTTAACCATCTATCCCAGGATTCTTGGAGCCAGACTAATATCCTACCCAGAGTTCTCAGAGGCAGCCTAAGATCAAATCCCAGAATTCTCAGTACCAGCCAACATTCTATCCCAGAATACTCAGCCCCAACCAAACTACCTATCCCAGAATTCTCAGACTTAGCCTAATATTCTATACCAGGATTCTTAACCCTAGCATAACATCCCGCCCCAAATCCTCATGCCAGACTACCAATCAATCCCAGAATTTGCAGACTTGACTAACATCCTCCAAAGTTTCGTTCTATCCCAGAATACTCAGCCCCAACCAAATTACCTATCCCAGAATTCTCAGACTTAGCCTAATATTCTATACCAGGATTCTTAACCCTAGCATAACATCCCGCCCAAATCATCATGCCAGACTACCAATCAATCCCAGAATTTGCAGACTTGACTAACATCCTCCAAAGTTTCCAGAACCCAATTCCACCAAGAATTCTCTGAGCCATCTAACACTCTATCCCAGAATTCTCAGGATCATTCTAACATCTCAGAATTCTCAGAAACAGACTAACATTTTATCCCATATTTTCAGAGTCAGACTAAGACCTTATCAGCCATCTCTAAGCCAGGCTAATACTCTATCCCTGAATTCTCAGCACCAGCCTAACATCACACCCATAAATTTCAGAGCCAGCCTAAAATCCATCCCAGAATTCTCAAAGCTAGACTAACATTCTATCCCAGAATTCTGAGTCACCCTAACATTCTATCCCAAAATTCTTAATGCCAGACTAGTGTCCCAAACAGAGTTCTCAGAGCCAGGTTAACATTGCATCTCAGAATTCTAAGAGCTGCCCTAATATTCCATCCAAGAACCCTAGGCCATTCCAGAAAGGAAATTATGTAGATGACTTAACACTGAAGCATGGAACTCTAAAAGCCTGCATTATGTCCAGAGAGAAGCCACTGGGATCCGCCGCTACAGTGCAAGCCTTGGGTGCAGACCCTAGTCTGCTTTTTGTCTCCGAAATTGTACTCCCTAACTATGCTCTGCTAAGCCTTCGCAGCAGCCCCTCTGCACCATCCCAAGACCTACACCTCCCCTCCCTCTGGGCCTTCAGGGCTTTGGGAACTCAGAGACCTCCTCCTGACAGTCTTGCCCTCAACTTTTCTTCCAGTCAAGCCCAGAATGGACCCCTTCCAGTGATTCCCCCTCCAGGGCCTGATGCTCTGGGAACCACCACAGTGGCTGACACGTCCACGTCGTCTCCATGTCTGATGCATGGGCCCCAGACGCACTCTGCCCAGGCCCCCAAGCGCACCTGCAGGGCTGGGCTCAGTGA